ATCTTAAGCATTTCTTCTTTAAAGATAAAGTTGTACATTAAGATAAGAAGATATAAAGCTGAAATCGTAATTTTCTTGCGGTAGTTCGCTGGTCTACATGCTTTAAAGTTAAAGCCGTCCAAACTGATCACTCACTGGAGTCATGGATACATTATAAAAGTGTCCAGTGGACCTCTAGGATTCCAGTTGATAGCCAGCCCCAAACAAAGCACAACATGCAGCTTTTTAGCAAAACGAGACACAAAAATAAAATAATGCTTTAATATAGCCTGATATTGTACCACATGTATAGAAGGTGGAGATATCAACACAAGCGGCGATGCCTATTCACCATTTAACGCCTGAGAGGGTCGGATTACTCATGCAGTGATGCACCAGTTTCAACTCGGAGCATTCCTGGAACATAAATCACTGGTGCTTAATGTGCCCTGCAACAATGACACACATGCTGCGGAGCAATATAAAAAAACAACATGTAAAAAAGCATTGAGTTCCCTGTTTAATCATTAGAATACAAAGCGAATGGAAACAATACACGGAGAATGGAGTCAAGCCACTTATGGGCTTTTGTCAGGGCTTACACCCACAGAGTGCTCAGGACAGCGTTCGGCTCACAGAGAAGTGAACTACAGCGCAGTGAGGCGGCGTCTAGACTGAACGCTTATCAACTGAATTACCCCTCTAGGTTTCATCTGAAGGAAAAGAGAATAATCTTATTAGACACCATAAAAACTATTCCCGCGTATGCGCTCCTGTGTGTGCTTGCTTATGTGTGCGATTTTTATTTCTTTATTTTTAATACAGGCTTCATATCACAACCCGCCAGTATTTAACACTCCCACACACATGCATGGAGGCATATTAATATCCTTGTGAAGTAGTTAAAGAAATTAGATCTGTTGCATTAAGAATAATCACATTTTGTTTGTTGGAGAATCATTATGAATGATTTCCAGAGATTTAAGCTCGTCCTCTCTTTCCCGCCTTTAGTCTCTGCCTTGATTTATTTCTTGTCTTGAGATCATCTGTTTTCTTCAGGTCCCCCTCCCCCCTCTGTAATAATGGTAGATTTTCTGTCCTCCCTCCCCCCGTTGTGTTTGTATGCCCTAGCAGCAATAATGGATCCTTTCAGACTCATCACTACTACTGTTAACACAGACGCCTCGCCTCCCTCCTCCTCCTCTACTCACTCTTTCTGTCAGACAGGACAGATGAATGACTTCTTCTTCATTGTCCCCCTTTCCTCTTTTTCTAAGTGAGTAAACACATTCATACGACTTTACGGCCTCAGTTACACACACTAGAACACAGGCAGTGCACTGTATTAGTAGTGAATTAAGTTCTACACTTTAGCAATGAGCTGCTGTACTGCAGCATCAGGGAGCTTAATGCCCGGCTCGAAAGCACAACAGGAAGAGTTGTTGAGGTCTTTGGAAACAAGAGCCCTATTCATTCTCTCTTTCCAATGAATCTTGCGGTATTTAGTCGGAAAGAGGGAAGGAAGATGCTACTAAAATGCTACTAACACCTGCTAATTGGCGCTCAACACAAAGTACAGATGAGGCTGACGGAAATAATGCTTTGCAGCTTTTTGGTCATAAACCAAAGTACTGGACAAGTTAAAATGCTGAACTGATGGTGGCTCTGTATAAAAAGTTAATGGTTTACCAAAGTTAACAGAATTAATCCTGAAGGGAACATAAGCATCCTTTATTTTGGATCAAACATGACATTTCAGTTGCAGATCTGCAGACTTGAGAGTTTAGAGCATCTTCTACATAAAAAAACAGTTTTGGATCATAACATTATTCCTCCTCCACACCTCCTCCTCTAACTTTATCTCTCTGCCTCTTGTTCTTTCCATTTCTCTCACTGTCTCACTCTCCATCTCCAGGAAGTGCAGTTCCCAGCAGATATAATGATAGCAAAACTAAATCCATGCAGTTTAACAGTAGCAGTGTCAGATGCAGCAGATGTGAAGTTCCTTGAGCCGTGATGTCAGGAAGCTTAGAGGTCAATATACGCTGCTCAGATTTCACAAGAAAAGCAGAGTCAGACGGGGAGGCGGGGCTAAAGTAGAGATTAAATTTGCTGTTTTTTTCTCAGGCACGTTTGTTGTGTTGAGTAATACACAGTTTAATAGGCAGATAGGTAGAGAGGTGGTTGGGCGAGCATGCTTTCCTGTGCTGTCCTCATTCCTGGCACAGGTTCAGTTCAGACAGATGGTCAGGAGGGCTTTATGGAAGCGTATTCCCCCCTCCTACACAGCACACACACACACACACACACACACACAAGCCTAATAATGCAAGCCAAATGCCACAGGAGACATCTGCCTATAATAAAACATCATTCCATAGTATTAGTGAAGGCTGCGGGACAGTTAACCACTTACAACTTTGTTTAAAAGACTGTACGACTCAGATTTACAGTCACCCATCAAAGCTCCAGATAATCACCTTCACACTGTGGTGGCCCCTAAATGGCACCAAGAAATTACTATTTGATTGCTTTTTTTTAAGGTTTGAAGGAAACCCAGAAATGTAACATCTGTAAAACAGCACAGTCATCTGACCTACATTACTTCAGAGAACAAGACACTCCCTCCCCTCCCAAGTTTTCCCACCACTGTCTCAGCACCTAAAACCAAATTTTGATTTGGCCAGAGAGGGTGAATTCTAGTCTCAACCAGGATAACAAGGTGCTCTTATGTGTTTGTTTTTAGTTTTTCAGCACTTCAAGGAGCTATGTATCTTCATGCATATAATTCAAAATTACACCTCCCCGAAGAGATTAGTCAGATTAGTCTCCCAGTGATGCCATACCCCCGTCTAGCTATCAGGGCGGGAAGTACTCGGATTTTCCTGTCGCCGCTGCAACCTACATATGACAGTCATTTGATTCAGTAACAGAAGCCTCCGGATCAGCTTAACACAGGCCTGCAGGGGAATCAAATCCCTCCTAACACACGAGACTCCTGCAGGAGCATGATGTGAATGTCACCGCCTGTTTGTGTGTGTGTGTAAGAGGGAGAGATTCAGCAGAAATTAATAAGATGTTATGTGTAAAGGCAAGGAAAGAGAGAGCGCAAGGGCACGGAGAGAGAATTCAGATTCAGAACTCGCGGACAGACGGACACAGATCTTTTGACAGTCACAGAATAGCGAGATTTATTTTATCTATAACAACCAGATGGCATTTTAGTACAAACCCATGTAAGCACGGCTAACACATGCTGTAAATACTGCTGACATTGATGGAAAGGCTGTTTGGTTACGTAATAAAAAAAAACAGGAGGTTGAGAGGGTCATTTTCCTTGAAAGATTATGATCGGCAAAGGAAATGAAAGCAAGAGCATGCACCTACATCCTGTGTTCGTTTTTAAAAAAACCTCCTGATTAAGATTTCATAAGAAGCATGATGATCCCTAACATTATCTACTTCTTTACTTTTCCTTTTGTCTGGTATTTAAGTTCTTTATATGTGTTTGGTTAGGATAATGTAGGGACTATGAATAACAGAGGGATTTAAAATGTGTTCGGATATTTTCTAGCTCTGAAGTTAAACATAAAAGAAATGCAGACATTTCAACTAATGATGTCTGAAGCTGGTGACACAGCCGACAAGAGAGATTTCAACTTAAATGTCTGTAGCTCGCATTGTTTTTCTTACTTTTATCAGTGAAAATACCTTTTAAAGGCAAAATAGAAAATAAAAGAAGTATAACCACTGTGTGAACAGCTTAGGACCTGCAGCACGAACATAAATCGATATTTAAAAGGGGTTGATATTCAAGCTCTTAACAGTACTCTGGTGGAGGAGCATTGTCCGCTGACATTTTATCTGCATTGGTCTAGCCTTGTCTATCTCTATGTGTGTTAGTCTTTTTATCTGTCTGTCTGTCCATCATCAGTGTCTGGTGTATCAACTCTGGGATAAAGCAAGTCCCTGCACAGTATGAGCTGCTGTAAAAAAAATTTATTCCTGTCTAGGTTAATTCGGAAAATGCCAAATTTCTTTATCTGATCCCCCGCCAAAAACCCGACTCCATCCAATGAGATCAGTGTCTGCTTCACTACACTGTGAGCCCTTAGTGACTGCTCCGTCATGCCTGCGCTTTTAATCAGCAGCGTCTCACTGAGTGGCTAATGCCATTAAGCAGCAGACACTCGTCTCTGGCCTCCTCATTCATCAACTCCCTGCATCCCTTCTTCTATTCTCTCCTATCAGAGCCTTTAAGCCATTATGACATGATGCAAGATGCTGCTAATGGAAAAACAGGACGTTTGTTTTGATTTTACTTTCTAGTGCTAAACATTAAACCACAGTTGTCCTTCCAATTATTCCTTTAATCCATCCAAAATATTTGTTTTTGACTACATTCATGATGACCAATGTAATTTCAGATATGGTCCTGGGTTTCACAGTATGACTGTGAGGGTCTCTACTCTTAACTACTCCTACATGAGAAATATTTATTCATGGATCTGAAAAAGACTAAACCAAGGCTTTAGGCCCGGTTCTTTACCTTTATGTCTTAAAGGAATTGTTTGACATTTTGGGAAATACGCTGTCTGTGATTATGTAGCTACCGGCATCAGCAGGTTAGCGTAGCTTAGCACAAAGACTAGAAACTGAGGGAAACTGCTAGCGTGCCTCTGTCTAGAATCCATCTACCAGCACCTCTAAAGCTCACTAATAAACACATTCGACGTGTTAAACCACAATTTAACCCAAACCTGTGTGTTTTTATACTTTTTGAGGTTTTGAGACTTTCAGATGTGGAGGCTAGCTGTTTCCACTTGTTTCCAGGCTTTATGCTAAGCTAAGCTAACTGGCTGGTTTGGGAAGGGTGTTAATCTCTCTCTCCTCACTCAATACTTGCCAAAATGTTGCCAAACAATTCCTATAAGTGTTTAACTTCAAACAGAGTTCATGCAACTGCTCCACACTAATTATTTATCCCACTTATTCTCTCTCTTGCTCCCCCCCCAAATCAGGCTCCTGTTTCTGGGTGGCAGTGCTCGATGGACGCGTGGTGGGGATTGTGGCAGCGCAAGGCCGAGAGGACGACAACACGGTTGAGCTGCGGCGCATGTCGGTGGACTCTCGCTACCGTGGCAAAGGCATCGCAAAGACCCTGGGTCGTCGGGTCCTGGAGTTCGCCGTGCGCAACAACTACGCCGCCGTGGTCCTCGGCACGACGGCTGTGAAGTTGGCCGCCCACAAGCTGTACGAGTCGCTGGGCTTCCGTCGAACGGGCCAGAGCGAGGACTACAGGCTCCCCGGGATGAGCCGCTCGCCGCTGGAGAGGCTCTTCTTCCAGATCCGCTACAGCCGCTACCGCCTGCAGCTCCGTGAGGAGTGAGAGGTGACAGGGAGAGGGAGAGAGAGAGATGGAGAGGGGGAGATGGAGAAAAAGAGAGGGACAGAGAGAGAGAGAGAGAGAGAGAGAGAGAGAGCAACAACCCTCCTTCACCTGAGAGCCCCGAGCGACCGCATCCTCTCCTCTGACAGCTTTTATTTATTTTGTGTCATTAGAGATAACTTCGAGTACTACTTAACACTTCTACTACTTCATCTTCAAAGTCACTAACGTTTTCATTACTATTACGCTTTTGTTGCTGTTGTTTTTGTATTATACTTTTACATTTTTAAATAAGAGTTTGTTTCTTTTCCTCTATTTTATTAAGCTATTTTTTTTGTACCTTTACCCCTCCCTTTCCATTGTGGGAGGAAAGAAAAACTAATTGGCTTTTATAAAAGACATCTTACTGGCAACCCAACTAGGTACCCCTCCCCTGCCCCTTTGGTTTTAAGATGATGGGACTCTGATCAATACTCCCCTTCATTACAATTCCACAATGCCCTTTTTTACCCCTCCCCCTTACCTCAAGCCCTCCCCTTCCCTCCCACATTCTTCTAATTTCCCCACAGTAAAATTCAATGGACAGGTTTTGACACAGGAGAGTGCAATGAGACATTTGCATTCGGTGTCATTGGGGGGAGGACAGAGCAATGGATGGGTTGGGAGCTCCTCGAGAGCAAAAAAAAAAAAAAAAGTGGTGGTGGGGGAGCTTGTGGTACACACTCTCTTTTACAAAAAGCTCTGCAATGTTACATTTTGTGTGTGGACAGAGCGTGGTTACACACACACACACAAACCAAGTCATTTTGGCTTTTAGCCAGACTCTCAAGACACCATATTGAAGCACAGCAAGAGTGTGTTACTGATCCCCATAGCGAGAGAGAAGGATGACAGGATGGTTACCGGAATATGCACTGTGTGTCCTGCGTCCTGGATGGATTCGAATCAACACAGTGCATCTTCCTCACACACGTCCATCCCTCTCTTCGTTCTCCTCGCTGGTGATTTTGATTGGATCCCGCCTTCCTTTCTGTTCTGTTGTTTTTCTGGATCTATCATCAGTTAATTAACTGCTTTTGTCACTGAAGCTGTGGAGAGGGTCTCTGATTGGTTGAGGTGACGGGAGGGTGGAACTTTCTCGTTGCAGTGTCACGCTGACAGATCCCAAGATACAATATAGCTGCATGTCAGAGCTTGTGTGTGTGTGTGTGTGTGTGTGTGTGTGATTGTTCAGAGTATGTGACTATATGTGTGTGTGTGTGTGTGTGTGTGTGTGTGTTTGATGAGGCCATGGTCAGACATTAAGACCATGGCCTCAACAGTGTATGAGGAACAATTAACCTATTTTTATTTTGCGTGAACAGACACGCACCTTTCTTGCTATGAGTCAAGTATTATCTAACTAAAACATTACTACTTTCTATGTGTACTTATAAATTGTTTACTGATTGAAGAAAGATAAATTCTAACATTTTGAATATGTTTAGTATTTGATTGATAATTAGCAATTTTATATCTTTAAAAAAAAACATATTACCACATTGTAATATGCAGATTTTGCCATAAAAACTACGACAATTACAAAGTAGCTGCAGTCTACACTCCACATACTTAATCCAGGTTATTGGGGAACAACTTGGGTAAGACATGAATACTAGCAATACTTGCAAACCTACAGTACGTAACTGAGCACAAATAGCAAATAATTATTTAAACCAATATAACTGCATTAGTATTCCTCCTTCCCCATGTATTTATATTGTGTATACAGTTAAAAAAAACTCATGTAGCGAAACAAAACGTCAGAAGTTTCTCCCATAACACCTCTCTCCATCTCCATCCTCTGACCATACAACCAGCAGTAGATTCAGCCATCCACGACTCTGAGCCTAAGTTCTGTCGTCATACCCATTTGTAAAAAGTAACATATAAAGCAAAATACAACAAAAAAAAATCACAAAAGATTAAAAAGAGAAAAAAAAATTGAATACAAATGTAATCGTCATAAAGTTAGCACTGACCCTCCTTGCCTTGCCACCCTTTTCTCCCCCAAACTCTCCCTACCTCCCATTCATGAATCTGTCTGCAACCCTGGGCTAGACCCCACACCTTCCATTTGAACCCTGCACACACTCCACTGACCTTTGACCTCCCCCTGTCCCAGGCCACACCCATTTCCTGCCCATCTCTGCATGCGCCACAGAGCCTTGCTGCACTGCTTTTATTATTCCATTTGAAGCTTGTTGGACCAACCCTTAGACCCCGCCCCCTTACTCTGATGTCATCTAGGCAGTGTGACGCTTTCGGGAAAGGCTGGTGTGCCAGGTTGCAAGGATGATGTACGGTTGTACGAGTATCGGTGTGATGCAGAAGACACGGAAAAGTGAGAAAATGTGTGTGTGTGTGTTGCAGACATAGGATATACTCACCAGCTGCAGCACTGCCTGGATGACATAATGCCTGCCAGCCAACCAACTGTAGAATGCAAAAAGCAATGCAAGTGTGGCATGCCTCTGTACCCGGTGTGTGTACGGTGCCTGCCCTGGAAAAGTGTAGAAAAAAAAAAAGTTAACTAATTTATATACAATATATATATATATAAATATATATATAAAAAGAAAATAAGCTTCTTTTTTTTAGATGAACATATAAAAGAAATGTGTGTTTCTTTGTTTCGGAAAAAAGAAAAAATTGTACCATTTGCATGAAATGTGTCTTTGAATGCAAATATAACTTTTAGGGGAGAAACTCCTAGCACATGGCATACAGTGGAACCATAGACTTGTCATTTTTACAATGGTTTATTTTAATTTTAAATAATCTTAATTCTCTGGAGTCAAGACAAGGGCGTGAAATTAATACCAGCCACAAGCCAGTGCTCATAACATTTAGGAGGCAGCCAACCCTTGTTTAGAAGTCATATTCCATTTAAAAGTCTTGCTAAGCTGAAAGCGGCTATTCAGATTTATCTGTCACTGGCTGGAGGACTGAAAAGTATCATAGCTCTTTTTCTATTAAACCAGCTTGTGCAGGACTTGAGATCATCTTATGGGCATTCGGCAAATGATGCAAGAGAAAACATGTATTCCCATGCAGTACATAGTGCAAAAATCTTGTGGTTCTTTACGAGCACTGAGTGAAATATTTTTCACCCAACAAGCCCTTTGCCAAGTTTATCATATACAGATTAAGGAAACACAGGCAGCAGGATAGGGTTATAAGTTTGCAGTGACGGTCAAATGTTTAGACTTTGTTCCAGGTGACGTAGGTAATCACTGTTTCCTGTTAAAAGTGTCCTCAAACCCCGATCTGAACCTGTGTCAGCTAAATGCCTAAAATATATAGTACATCCTAGTTTCTTTTACATCTAACTTTGGATTATACTTTCCACAATATACGTTGTTGTTTTTTTTATTTAGGGATGTAAATACAAAACCCCCACAAAAGGACAAAAGTTTTTGACCTTAGCTACTTTAAGCCGTTGAGATGCCTATGTTTGTCAGGTCCCGTGAAACTAAAGCTTCGTCACCTTCCCTCCCTTCATACAAGCCATGTGTTTAAGCCACGTGTAGAGGAGGCTTAACTACCGACAAGTTCTCTGTCTTTTAATTGGAGCCAATCTTACGATTGAAAACATTAAAAAAGCAAGGCACAAATGCACTGAAAGCATCGAACAGTATTGTTTTTTTTTTTAAAACGCACCAGATGTTTTCACTGGGCCGACATGTGGAGGATGCCTCACAACACTTTTGATGCATCTGCTTTGAACTTGGTTGTTGCTGGAGAGCCAAAAGAGGACCAGGCTGTATTTCGTGACTTTTCTGGAGCAACAGCTACCACTGACGTTTGTACAGTAGTTACATACTTCCTACTGAGCTAAGCAGGAAATTAGGCAACAGGACACAACAACCAGACTACAGTGTGAACACTATGCTGGGATGTTTTTATGGTCCCTGTCCAAAATTTAATAATATCAGAGCATAAAGCCGACTATAAACTATCAATTTCTTCAAAAATGTAATCTGAAATTACAGTTGTGAAATGTAGGCTTCAGTGGTGCTGAGGCTTTAGATTTCCTCACAGAAAAACCACAGCAGAGGCACATTTGTGTCAAATTACTTATGTCAGTTATCACTGCTAGGGTGTTTAGGTCCTTGCTGTATGACTCAACCCACTCTTTATAAGACTTGGGTGAGGTCTGAAGGTTGAGTGAGAGGTGGATTTTGCTGAGGTGGATTATAAAATAAGCTGCGGTCTGGATCTTTTGGAAGAATGTGAAGTCTGTCAATTCTGAGCCATTTCTGCTGCTGCCAATCTCAGTTTTTGCCGGATGAAATTTAAAACACTTCATGTATTTTTAGGAGAAATGATTATCCATACTGGTACGTATTCTGAACAAAGGTAATATCATTCAAAACGCCTTTGCCAAGGCCTTATGCACTGGAATCAAACGCTGGAGTTCAAATATCTTGTGGACTGCATGGCTTAAGGTAGTTAAAGGGTGATTTTTTTAAATTGTAAAGATGAAGTGCACTGACTATAATGCATTTATTTCTAGTCTGAGCAATGTCTGTTTTCTACTTCATGTGAATGCTATGCCCTGTGAAGTCTCACCTCCCATTTAAAAACTGGTAACGCATACTTGATGTTAGAATGTAGTAATTAAACTGTATGCAACTTCTACCAGAGTGTAAATTTAGATACAAACAACTCCTCTGAAATGTTCTGCTGATGTACAATCCAAACACAGTTTTACTTTTTTTTCCTTAAGTTTTCTTTGTTTTTTTGTTTGGTTTTCTGTGATTTGTGCGAGTGAGTGTGCTGTCCTATTGGTTGAGGTTTGAGAAGGTATGCTGCATAAAGGTCTCTCCAGCTGGAGAAGGCTCTTTTAGTTTAGAGTGCTTTAGAACCCAAAAATGATCATCTGATGCTCTCTCTCTGATGGCAGACACAGAGGCCCAAGCTGAGGCTGAAGCCAAAGCTTTAATTTCAGCAGTTTAAAAAAAAACAACTAAAATGGCCACATTAATAACCAAAATGGTAAAAATATCAATATTTGTCACGATCAGCGTAACAGTTTATCTACTGGCGAAGGAGCATAGAATTCAGAACTGCACAAATGTACAGATCCTGTGGGTGTGTTGTGTTACTATGATGGTGTGTGTCCATGCTCAATAGCCTTGGGGACGAACACTCACAGGCATGAATGTAAACTGCCAACATTTTAGTTCTTAGAAAGATTTTTTATGTTTT